GTTTTGTGTTGGTTTTAGTTTTGGTCGGTCATGGGGCTTGAACTCTGGGCCTGGGCGCTGTCCCTCAGCTCTTCAGCTCAAGGCTAGTGCTCTACCACTGGAGCCACAGCGCCACTTCTGGGCTTTTTCTGCATATGCAGTGCTGAGGAATTGAACCCAGGACCTCATGCATGCAAGGCAAGCGCTCTACCCCTGAGCCACCTTCCCAGCCAACCAGTGCGTGTTCCCCTCCTCCCCCGCCCTCAGGTCCGAGAGCTGGAGAAGCAGCTGGGGCAGACGCAGGGCAGGTCTGCGGAGACGGCCAGCGAGGCGCCCCCCACCCACCAAGACAGGAAGAAGCTGTCAGCACAGGAAAAAAACCTGCTGAGGATCCGCAGCCTGGAAAGGGAGAAGCAGGAGAGCTGGGAGGTCAGGGCAGGCCCTGCGGGGGGGGGGGGCGGGGGGCAGCCGGGCGGGGAGGGGAAGAGGGGAGGAACTGGAGGTAGACTCTGAGATCCAGATCAGCACCCCCACTTGTGAGGGCCATTGGCAGCTGAGGATCCCCAAAGCCCTCACTTAGAGCTCTTAGAGTCAAGATACCCCAGCTCTTTTCGATAGATCACTGGTTTCCTGTCAGCCCATCTAGAGCCATGGGTCTGGGGTCTCCCCTAGCCCATTCAGTGAACTTTGGGGGGGCCCATTTTGGAAAATGGGGATGCTGTACCTAAAATAACTTAATTTGGGGGGGTGGGCCGGGCACCGGTGGCTCACACCTGTGCTTCTAGCTACTCAGGAGGCTGAGATCTGAGGATCGTGATTCAAAGCCAGTCCAGGCAGGAAAATCCGTGACACTCCTATCTCCAATGAACCACCAGAAAACCCGAAGTGGCGCTGTGGCTCAAGTGATAGAGCACTTGCCTTGAGCACCAAAGAGGCTCAGGGACAGCACCCAGGCCCGGAGTTCAAACCCCAGCACCACCAAAACAATAAAATAAAAAACTATTGTTATTCTAAAGATATACAACGGGGTTACAGTTCCATAAGTCATGTATTAAGTTCTTTTTTTTTTTTTGGCCAATCCTGGGCTTGAACTCAGGGCCTGGGCACTGTCCCTGAGCTTCTTTGGCTCAAGGCTAGCGCTCTACCACTTGAGCCACAGCGCCACTTCCGACTTTTTCTGTATATGTGGCACCAAGGAATGAACCCAGGGCCTCATGCATGCCAGGCAAGCGCTCTACCACTGAGCCACCTTCCCAGCCCGTACATTTCTTTTTGTGGACCATGTCTCCCCTCTTCCCTCGCTCTCTCCCAGTTTTTCCCTCCTGTTCCCCACCCAAACTTGTAGAGTCCATTTTCCACATAATGTCCCGTGAGGACCACGGCTGCCTTTGTTCACCCTTCGTCTCTCCCAGAAGAGCAAACAAGACGAAAAGAAAAGAAAGTGAACCTCATTTCCACTTCCTGGAATATTTTACATCTAGCTTCTGCATCTAAAACACTGTGTGTGTGTGTGTCTGTGTGTGTCTGTGTGTGTCTGTGTGTGTCTGTGTGTGTGTGTGTGCCAGTTCATGACATTTGAACTAGCTTCTGCATCTAAAACACGGTGTGTGTATGTGTGTGTGTGTGCCAGTTCCTGACATTTGAACTCAGGGCCTTGTAAGTACAAGGCAGGAGCCACACACCCCCTACTTGGGGTTTTCTGGTGCTTCCTTGGAGAGCAGAGTCTCACGGACTTTCCCAGCCTCGAACTGCAGTCCTCTAGATCTCAGCCTCCTGAGTGTCTGGGATGACAGACGCGAGCCGCTGGCCCGCTGGTTCACTCTCTCCCTTTCTTCAACCGCGCAGAAGCTCGCAGGCGAACGCGATGCCCTCCAGCGGGAGCTGGAGGAACTGAAGAAGAGGCTGGAGGCCATGAAATCGCGCAACAAGGTGCTGTCGAATGAAGTAAAGACGCTCAAGAGCCAGATGGCGACCCTGGTGGAGAAGGGCAAACATGACGACGAACTCATCGATGCGCTCATGGTACCCAGCCAGATACCCCAGCCAGGCCAGCAGCTGGCTGTGTGTGTGTGTGTGTGTATATACTGGTCCTGGGGCTTGAACTCAGAGCCTGGCTGCTTTCCCTGAGCCTTTGTGCTCTAGGCTGGTGCTCTACCACTCAGGGGGACACCACCACATCCAACTTCTTGAAAAGATCTCACAGACTTCCCGTGCCTGGGCTGGCTTTGAACCACGATCCTCTAGATCTCAGCCTCCTGAGTAGCTCAGGTGACTGGCATGAGCCACCGGCTAGCCTGGTGGGCTCCGCCTTTTTTTTTTTTTTTTGCCAGTCCCAGGGCTTGAACTCAGGGCCTAGACACTGTCCCTGAGCTGCTTTTTGCTCAAGGCTGGTGCTCTACCACCTGAACCGTAGCAACCCTCCTGGCATTTTTTCTGTGTCTGTGGCCCTGAGGACTCGAACCCAGGGCTTCCTGCGTGCTAGGCGAGCGCTCTACCACTGAGCCACCCTCCCAGCCCCAGTTTCTTTTGGTGATCCTGCCCTCCCTGCTGGGGGAGGGGGAAAAACCTCAGCTAATGAGGCCTCCACTGGCCAGGAAAAGAGGGGATTTGAGGACAGGAGAAGAGGGGGCGCCTGACTTGACCCCTGCCCCACCGCCCCCCCTCCCTCCAGGAGCAGCTGAAGCAGTTACAAGAGATCTTGGGCAGCCTGAGCCTCCAGGAGGAGAAACTGCGCAAGTCCCAGCACACCGAGGACCAGAGGGCCAACAGCGAGGCGCAGCGGAGCAGCAGCCTCGTGGCCCAGCTGCGGGCCATGGTGGCCGAGCGGGAAGACAAGGTGCGGCAGCTGGAGCTGGAGATCGGCCAGCTGAGCAAGCAGGTGAGCAGCGAGCACGCCGGCTGAGCAAGCGGGTGAGCAGCGAGCACGCCGGCTGAACAGGCAGGTGAGCAGCGAGCGCGCCGGCTGAGCAGGCGGGTGAGCAGCGAGCGCGCCGGCTGAGCAGGCGGGTGAGCAGCGAGCGCGCCGGCTGAGCAGGCGGGTGAGCAGCGAGCACGCCAGCTCATAGAGCTGGGGCCAGAACTCTGGGCCTGGGCGCCATCCCTCAGCTCTTCAGCTCAAGGCGAGCGTTCT